CAGTTGGTCCAGTGGTGAGAATCTTTGTCTTCTTGACATTGAGCCTCAATCCATACTGAAGGTTGCAGTCCTTGACACTCTGCAGCAAGCGTTTCAGGTCCTCCTCAGTTTTAGCAAGCAGGGTTGTGTCATCTGTATAACACAGATAAGATGATAATGATAATATTATTACCATTAAAATATATGAAGATAACTAGGCATTGAAAACTTCTTTAACATTATAATGCTAGTAGCTAGCAGAACCAGGATTTTTTTTAAATTTTTTTTTAATTGCAATCATTTTATTGGAGAAAATTATTTCTATATTTTTTACAGTAGTTTCTTTTTTTATGTTTGGCAATAAGTGGGTTTTTTTAAATTTATTATTAATTTCAATGAAAATATTCAGAGACTTTGGATTTCTATTCATTCATTGTTGCACTTTTCTCTTCTCCCAACCCTTATTACACTACCCTGTTGGAAAAGTAAAAGAAAAATTCTTTCATTGTTTTACAATCCTTCCCCCCAGGTCCACTCCACTATGCAGCCTTCGCTCTAGGCTCCTGTCATGACAGAAACACCTAATCACATATCCCTTTTAAACTGTTTTCTACCTCATCTGCTACAATGCAGTATACATAATTTATCCCATCTTTCTCAGTCTCTTCCCAACCCCAAGGACACTCCTGTTTTACAGCAGTGGCACCATGCAGTATTTGTCCTTTTAAGGCTGAGATACTTCACTCAGCATAATGTCCTCCAGGGTCACCCATTTTGAATAATATTGCATGAGTTCCTTGTTTTGCAATGCAGCGTAGTATTCCATTGTGTGAATATACCACAGCTTCTCAATCCATCCACTTTTGTGGTTTCCAACTCCTTGCTATTGTGAACAAAGCCACAATCAACATGGGTATGCACAGAACCAGGATTTTTAATCCAAGATTTTTGAGCCCTTATTCTAGAATCATTACTTCCTACTAATTCTCATAATATGAGAAGTTTTGCTAAGAATTTTTTTGTTTTCATTTCAGTAATTTATTAAGGTATATTTAAGGGTTTTATTTTTGTTAGGTGTTGAGCTGACTTACATTCCTGGTGACACCACATGTACAAGAGAGCAGAATTCCTCCTAATTCTGTGCAATCTTCAAAATCTCTGTTGTGCTTAAGCTTATTGTACAGTTTCTACATCATGTCATTCTTTTTTTTCTTTTCTTTTTCTGGTATATGGAAATTTATTACTGTGACATTTTAATCCAAATTTATTATTGAACCGATTTCTTCTTGCCTTTGATTAAGGCCAAAAGAAATACATTATCCCGTTTGACAATCTTAAAGCAGACACCAGAAATATCACCAATAGCATGACCTTTGCGACTACATTCAACAATAAGAACTTCATTTTCTTTGAGGTCAGTTCATCTTATTGAAGGTTTTCCTCTCCTTTGTTGACCTTCTGCTTTCCCAAACATGTTGTCCTTCTCCAGATACTGACCCCTCTTGACATCACACACAAAATTTATGAGACAGAGTCTTACCATTAAGCACTTATTACCCTTATTAAGCACTCTGGCTTCACTTCTTCCAAGACAGATTTCTTTTTCTTCTGGCAGTCCATCGTATGTTTTGTATTTTTCACCAACACCATATTTCAGAGACCTTAATTCTTTGGTGATATTCATTGTCCTGTTTTCAAATGCATATGAAACATTTGGCTTGGATCAGGCACATTATATAGTATCTAAACTTAAGTCCTTGCTCTGTAACACTTTAAAGAAATCCTTTGTAACATGTTTGCTTGTTCAGTAAGTTGAATGATTTTTTTTTCTAAACTTTAAGTAAGTTAAAACTTAACAAAAAATATGTTTTCATTCAGTCATTCATAGAAATTTTGTTTTACAACTTTAATGAAAATTAGTTAATGTCATTAAGTGTAAGATCCATAAAGAACATTAAATATCAAGGGTATAAATGTTACCTTTTAACTATGTATTTGTATCTTTCTGTAAGTGTGTGTATGTGTAAAAACTTTGATTTTTTTTTTAACAATGTTAAAATGAATTTTATAAACTGATTTTTTAAAGTTTCTCTTCTTTTAGAGAACTATTTTAATGAAGGGAAAAGTATGTCTGAGGACATTAAACTCCGATTTGAAACTTACCAGTTGATATGGCAACAGATGAAATCTGAAACAGAGGTAACTACCCTTCTGAACATAACCTTATTCTGGTTGTTCTTGTTATTTTTAAGTGCTGTTGAGTTGACCAGGACTCATACTGATCCTGTGAACACTAGTCTGAACTCTGCCCTATCCTGGGCCATCCTCATCATTTCTGACATACTCAAGCCCACCATGGCAATCACTGTGCCATTTCATCTCAGTGAGAGTCTTCACTTCCCTCACTAACCTTCCATCTTTCCTAACATGTCCTTTTATGCCTGGCTCCTTCTAATAACTTGTATAAAGTATGTGAGATGAAGTTTCACTATCCCTGTGTCAGAAGAGGAAGAGCTGTGTGGGAATAGCTGTATCTGATCTTTGCCAACTTCTCAAAGGGGAATTAGCACTATCAACTACATCAGTGACAAAAAATTAATTGCCATGAGATCATATATTCCCCCTGGGCTCTCATACCTCTTTCTTCTTATCTTAACACCAATCTTACTGCTTTACTGGGTCCAAAATCAGATGCAGTAGCTCACAGACTACACAAAACCATATTGGGGATGCCAAAAGATTCTAGTCCAGAATAATAACAGAATACAGTCAAGACAGCTCCTGAAATGTGCACCTCTGCCTCAAGCCTCATACATTCAGGCTAGTGGTACCTAAGTTCTCAAAGCTGTCAATTTTTGTCCAGCAGAGTTCTCAGCCCTGCCACTATTGGCTTTCCCCACCCCACATGCCATCTAATTTCACATCAGGTCTCTTGGCGAGACTAGCCAGTCCTCTTGTAGAAAGTTGAGACTGGCCAGTCCCCTTGGGCAATGGTATATAGACACTTCCCTTGTGATTAGGCTAACATGTCCCATTCACTTATTTCCACTTCTCTACATAGCATCTTCTTTCCTTAACAGAATAATTATTTCAGCATAACAAACAGTTAATCTTTTGGCTAGGAAAAACAATTTGAATGATAAACGTTAGATACCCAGACCTTGTCTTTAAGGAGCACGTTGACTACACCCTTTTCAAGACATTTTTGACCTTTTAGTAGTACATATTTAGTACTCTTCTCCAATACCACATCTCAAAGACATTGATCATTCTGTCATCCTTTCATTGTCCAACTTTCAGATATATCATTTGAAAAATCATTGTTTGGATCAGGAGCATCTTAGTCTTTAAACTTGCAGTGTTATTCTTAAGCACTTGGGAGAGGTCTTTGACAGCTCAACTTTCTCATTGTAGTGTATCTCGATTTTTCTTGCTATTGGTGCCAAGGGTGTTGATTGTGGATCCAAACAAGATTAAGTCAGTGGCAATTTCTATTTTTTGTCCATTTTATCATGAGATTACCTATTGGCCTGTTGATGAGGACTTTTATTTTCTTGATGTTTTCTTGATACTGAAGGCTGTAATTTTTTTATCTTCGGCAGCAAGTATTTCAAATCCTTCTCATTTTCATTAAGCAATGTTACGTCATTTACATGACACAGGTTGTTAAGGGGTATTGCTTTGATCCTGATACCACATTTTTCTTCATCTAGTCCAGCTTCTTGAATGATCATTTGCTCTACATACAGATTGAGTAGTTATAGAGAAAAGATACAACCTGATACACACCTTTCTTGAATTTTTAAATTATGCAGTGTTTTCTTGCTCTGTCTGAATAACATCATCTTGGTCTAGGTATAAGCTTCACATGAGCACAATTAAGTGTTCTGAGATTCCCATTCTTATAATCGGCCATAATTTGTTATAATCCAAATAGTCAAATGCTTTTCATAGTCTGTAAAATACTTAAAGATATTTCATAGTTATCATTTTTATATTCTCTGCTTTTAGCCAAGGTTCATCTGACATCATCTTTCTCTAGTACTGTAAATCTCCTATTTGGAGAATATTGATGGAATGTAGGAATTGTTGCCAAACAATTGTATGTCCTTTAAAAACAAAAACCCAGAAAATCCAATATTCCAAATAGCCAACATAGATTGCACTCTCGTGGAGTAATTAATTTCATGTTGCACTGCCAATTCATAGATCACTATTTCAGACCTGTCAGCAGCTCCATGGAAGAAAGCTGGACAGGCTTCTCATATAGATGTTTATAGTCTGGGAAGATAATGGAGGATTGCTGTGTGTCAAATTTCAACTTGATGACAGTAGGTTTAGTACTACAGTATGTTTTTATGATTATAACTAAGACAAGGGAGGCTTAAGAAAAGGAGATCTTGCTGGGAAACATGGAGGTGGATTGACACAGTGCCAGTAACAGTGAGCTCTAACATAGCATAGATGATGAGGATGGTGTGAGATAAGGCAAAGTTCAGATCTGTTGTCCATAGGGTCACTATGAGTTGTAGTCAACTTAGTGGTAGCTAATAGCAACTACTAGACAAGGAAACTTTTACATATTCTCACAGCTTTTAAAGACTAGTACACTTTGATTATGAATTCAGTTAAATGAGAAGTCTAGGTCTTTCTAAAGTTCTTTACACTCTTAGCCAGTTACTATGCTTTTAAATATTTTTTACCTCAAATATTTTCCACTCCAGCAAATTGATAGTCTGAGGATTAATATCTTGAGCAGACTTGTATTGTCTAACCAGCACAAGTATTATATTTTGTTTGCTTTTTTAATACCTTTGAGAAGGATGCCTACTTTCCAGTTTACTACTGCTTCTTACTACTTTCTAGAAAATTGATGGGTAAATTTGTTTAACGCTTTATTCCTCATTCATATAGTCTTCATAATTCTTGAAAGTTTGGGGTTTTCAATGACTGATTTTTCTGAAGTAGGTGACTAGTCTTCTGAGGCACCTCTGAGTAGACTCAGACTTCTGACTGTCAGTTGTAGCAATATGTGTTAACCATTTGCATCACCCAGGGATGTCTTTCACCTTGCTTCTCTGTCCAGTCTAATTTCCTGCCACTTTTTAGTGATGATGCTTAGTTCTTTAGATGGCTAGTGTTTTCTCCTTTCCCTGCCTCCCTTTCTGTATTCTAACTTTGCTCAGGTCCCTTCATCTCTTCCATAACCTACCATTTGTCTCTAACTCCTCACTCAAGGATGTAATTTTCTTTTATTATCACAGTACTTTACCCATTGTGCTTTAATTGTAAATGTTTTTGCCCAATTTCTTGTATTTTCTAGGATACAGACTAGCCTTCATTTGTATGATAGTTAATTAAATGTTTACTGAATAAGTAAATTAGAAGAGTTCCTTAAAAGGAAAATCTGAAGTTCTAATTTCTGGAGATCTAAGGCAAAAATGTTTTGTTTTTTAAATTTCATCCATCTAATAATTATTTGCCATGTAATCCGTAAAATTAAATCTGTAATAGTTTTCTTTCTAAAAGTCAGAAAAGAGGCACCAGATTGCTGCTGATGGTCATTCATAGAGTTTGGTGTTACTTTTTTAGCAGTTGCAAGAAGAATTAAATAAAAACCTGTTTGACAGTCTAACTGGATTTCTGCAAAAGTCTCATTTGGGATTCCTGAAGAATTCAAGAGACTGGAGCTGTCAAATAAAACTCAGAGAGATTCCAACTGCTGCTCTTGTTCTAGGTATGTGTGATGTGTAAAGCCTTTGTAGGTATGTATTTTGTGTTTTGATCTTAGTGGTGGTTTTGTTACTGAAAATAGCAATTTTTGACTTACAGAGTTAAACCAATTAGTTTACAATGTATTCCTTCAAACCAAGCAAAGTTCTTAATACTGATCACACTATCCGTACTTAAACATATTCAAGGTGAGATACTTTTCCTTACTTTTACTGTAATTTCCTGAAATATAATGAAGAAATACTATCTTCTAGTACGAGGATATATGAGATTGGAATTTTGTGATAAATCATCAGTGTGTTAGTATAATGAATTTTTATACTTTTTTCAGTCATATCATCCAAAGAGTTACTCTGTGACTTTAATTTTCCTACTAGAGTGCTTTGGTGGCTTAGATATAAGATGTTGCAATACCAAACCAGATGAACACTGTTTAAATCCACCAGTTACTCCACAGGAGAAAGATGGAAAGTCTCCCATGCATTTTACAGCCTCAGAAAACCAGCTGTGAGTCACAATACATAACAAAACACTTTTGTATAGACAGAGCTCTGTTGACCTAGTGGGAAGGAGTTAAACCACCAATCCAACGGCATGCTGTTCAAATCCATTAGCTATTCCATGGGAGAAAGTTGGGCAGTCTCCTTCCTTGTGATTTCTTGCCTCTGAAAACCTGCTGGTGGGTCAGCTATAAGTTGGTTACAAAAACAACAAAATGTACAACAGTCTGAAAACCTGCTGGTGGGTTAGCTATAAGTTGGTTACAGAAACAACAAAATGTACAACAGTTCTGAAGAGTGCCCGTTCAGAGCCAGTCTCACTGACTCTGACACACCTACCCCCATTGCCACAGTTATTGTATCAATCCATCTCATCTGGGGTCTTCCTCTCCTTTGCTGTCCCTTCACTCTTCCAAGCATGATGTCCTTCTTCAAGGATTGGTCTTTCCTGACCACATGCCCAAAGTATGTTGAGACGGAGCTTCAAAATCCTCGCCTCCAAGGAGAAACTTGCTTTCACACTTTGCAAGACTTATTTGTTTTCTTGGTGGTCCATGGTGTGTTCAAGACTCTTCTCCAACTCAAACGCATGAATTCTTCTGTCATCTTCAGTCACTGTCCAGCTTTCTGATGCTTAGGAAACAATTGCAAAGACCATTGTCTGGATCAGGCACACTTTAGTCTATAGATTGACATCATTGCTTCTCAGTACTTTGGAGAGGTCCCAGAGATTTTCCCCAGTACTTTTCATCATTTGATTTTCTGATTGCTGCTGCCAAGAGTGTTGATTGCAGAGCTGAGGAAGCTGTAATTGTTAACAACGTCATTCTCTTCATCTTTCTTGGTGCTGCCAATTAGCTGGAGAACCTTTGTCTTCTTGGTGTTGAGCTTCAGTTCCTATTGAAGACTACAGTTCTTTTTTTTTGTTTTTTGTGTTTTATTATTATTATTATTATTAAATTTTATTAGTTTTAATGAACATTTACAGGGATTTTGGGTTTTCACTCCTTCATTGCTGCACCATTCTCTCCACCCTCCTCCCCAGTTTGTTCTTCTTCCCCCGCCATCCGAATGTCTGTTTTAATTGTCCAATTGCCACAGTGCTAAGACTACAGTTCTTGAACTTCTGCAGCAGGCGCTTCAGGGCCATTTCAGTTTCAGCAAGAAAGGTTGTGTCATCTGCATATCATAGGTTGTTGATGAGTCTACCTCCAATCCTGTTGCCACATTCCTCCTCATAAAGCCCAGCCTCCCCAGTGATCTGTTTTGCTTATAGATTGAAAAGGTAGGGAGATAGGACGCAGCCCAGATACACTCCTTTCCTGCTTTTGAACCATGATGTGTTTCCCTCCTCTCTTCTGAGGACTGCTTTCTTGTTGAAATGTAAGTTTCACATGAGCACAATCAGGTGCTCTAGGATTTCCACTCTCCTCAAGGTTAGCCACAGTTTGTTGTGATTCACACAGTCAAAACTCTTTGCATAGTCAATGAAACAACAAAATACTTGTGTGTTTTATTTATTAATTTTAATGAACATTTACAGAGATTTTGGATTTCCATTCATTCATTGTTGAACTTTTCTCCCTGCCCACTCCTCCCCTCTAGTCCACTCTTCTCTTAGAAAAGTAAAAGAAAAATTCCTTCATTGGTATACAATCCACCCACCCCTGCCCTGAGTATACTCCACTACACAGCCTTCATTCTGGACTCTTCTGATAACTATAATACCCTATCATATATCGCTTTTAAACTATTCTCTCCCTCATCTTTTTAAATGTGGTATACATAATTTATCCAGTTTTTCTCAGTCTTACCCCAACCCTGATGTCAGTCCCATTCCACAACAGTGGCACTATGCAGTATTTGTCCCTTTGTGACTGAGATATTTCACTCAGCATAATGCCCTCCAGGGCCACCCATTTTGAATAATATTGCATGAGTTCCTGTTTTTCAATGCAGCGTAGTATTCCAGTGTGTGAATATACCACAGCTTCTCTATCCACTCGTTAGTTGATGGGCACCTGGGTTGTTTCCAACTCCTTGCTATTGTGAAGAAAGCCACGATAAACATGGGTGTGCATATATCTGCTTGGGTGTCAGTTATGGTCTCTTTAGGGTATATTCCCAATAAAGAATTTGCTGGGTCAAATGGTATCTCTTTTTGCAACTTTTGAGAAAACACCACACCGCTTTCCACAGTGGTTGCACCATTTTATACTTCCACCAACAGTGAATAAGGGTTCCAGTTTCTCCACAACCTCACCAGCATTTGTTGCTTCTTTTTCTGTTAAATTTTGCTATTCTGACTGAGGTGAGATGATATCTCATAGTTCTTTGATTTGCATCCCTCTTAGAGCTAGGAATTTTGAACATTTCTTCATGTGCTTGTTGGCCATCTGAATGTATTCTTTGGTGACATGTTTGTTCATATCCTGTGCCCATTTTTCAGTTGGATTGTTCACCTTTATCTTGTGCTCAAGTATTTTATAAATTCTAGATATAAGCCCCTTATCTGACATGTTATTTCCAAATACTTTTTCCCAGTCTGTGGCTTCCCTTTTTACCCTGTTGGAGACGTTTTTGGATGTGCATAGGGATTTGATTCTTAGAAGGTCCCATTCATCTATTTTATCCTCTCCTGGTTGTAGATTTTTCAGGATACTTGGAAGACAGTTTATGTTGTGGATTAGTACTACTAAAGTTCTTCCAAGCTTTTCTTTAATGACGTTTATAGTCCTTGGTACATAGGGTTTGGCCAGTCCTTCCTAGTGTGTCTTAATCTGAATGTTCAGATTTAGAGAAGTATCCAACAGATAAGCATTTTACAGAAAAAGTGAAAATATATCCCTTTGAGCTTTGGTGTTGGAGAAGAGTATTGAGGGTACCATGGACTGCTCAAAAAACAAACAGATTCATCTTGGAGAGGGTTAAACTGGGCAGCTCCTTGGAGGCAAGGATTCTGAGGCTTCGTCTGACATACTTTGGTCATGTTTTAAGGAGAGACCGGTCCTTGGAGAAGGACATCATGCTTGGGAGGGTCGAGGACAGGCGCAGAGGGGAAGGCCCTCTGAGAGGTGGATTGATCTGGTGACTGGGGTAATTGGGATGAGTGTGTCAGAGACAATGAGATTGGCACAGGACAGAACAGAGTTTAGGGCTGTTGTACATAGGGTTGCTATGAGTCGCAAGCGACTCGACTGCACATAACAACAACAACAACATAGTTCTTGGTTTTAGTCCTAGGTCCATTATCCACCTTGCGTTGGTTTTTGTATATGGAGTGAAGTGTAGATCTTCCTTGAGTCTTCATATATTTTTCCAATTTTGCCAACACCAACTGATTTCATCTCCTTGTAAAAAATCAGTTGACCATAAATAAATTGGCTGATTTCCGGGTTCTCATTTCTCAGTTCTATTCCATTGATCTGTGTGTCTGTCATTGTACCAGTACCATGCTGTCTTAACCACCACGGCAGTGTAATAGGATTTGATATCAGGGAGTGAGATGCCAACTACATTTTTTCTATTTTTATGGAGTGCTTTGCTTATTTGGGGCTTCTTTCCATTCAAAATGAAACTGCAGATTGCCTTTTTCATCTCGTTGAAGAATGGGATTGGTATTTGTATTGGGATTGCATTGGATGTGTAAATTGCCTTTGGTAGTATTGCCATTTTCACAATATTGAGTCTTCCTATCCATGAGCAAGGGATATTCTTCCACTTCTCCAGTTCTCTTTTTGTTTCTTGTAGTAATCTTTTGTAAGCTTCTGGTTATATTTACTCCCACGTATTTAATCTTGTGATTAGCTATTGTAAATTGTATAGTTTTTCTTAGCTGTGGCTCAGTCTTCTCTTTGTCACTGTAGAGAAATCCAACTGATTTTTGTATGTTGATTTTGTATCCTGCAAATTTGCTGAGTTGGTCAACTGTGTCCAATAGTTTTCTTGCTGAGTCTGTAGGGTTTTCTAAGTACACTATCATATCATCTACATAGAGGGATAATTTTACCTCCTCTTTGCCAATTTCGATACCTCTTATTTCCTTCTCTTGTCTTACTGCTACTGCTAAGACTTCCAATACAATACTGAATAAGAGAGGTGATAGTGGGCATCCTTGCCTAGTTCCTGTTCTTAAAAGGAATGCCTTTAACCTCTCTCCATTGAGAACATGTTGGTTCTCAGGTTTGCATAAATATTTTTTACTATGTTGAAGAAATTCCCCTCTAATCCTATTTTGTTAAGTGTTTTAATCAGGAAGGGGTGTTGGATTTTTTCAAAGGCCTTTTCTGCCTCAATTGATAGGATCATGTGGTTCTTGTTCTTTGCTTTGTTAATGTGATGAATTACATTAATTGTTTTTCTTAGGTTGAACCATCCTTGCATACCTGTTTTGAATCCCACTGGTCATAATGAATTATTTCTTTGATGCATCTTTGGATTCTATTGGCCAGGATTTTATTAAGTATTTTTCCATCTATATTCATGAGAGATATTGGCCTATAGTTTTCTATTTTGGTGGTGTCCTTTTCTGGCTGTGGTATCAAATACTTTTGTTTTAATCTCTAGGTAATTTTCTTTTATTACCATTAATTTTTATAAGGATATTTTGATCAATTATGTATAAATTGTTTTGATAGTACATATAATCAATTTCTTATTGTTGCTGTATACTGCTGAATCAGACCTGACCTATAGCTGACCCTCTGATGGGTTTTCAGGTGCAAGTATTACTCAGGAGGAAATGACCTCTAACTACATGCCTTCAGGATTACAGCACAGCTTCTTGCCAGTAAGCCACCAGCGCTACTTTAATAACTGTCATTAATATTCCATCTTTACCATACATTTGGATTGTAGAATAGTGGGAGATTTTTCACCTCAAAATAGCAGATTTTCTTCATTCCTTTGAAAAGCAAGTTACTTTTATATAAATTTCAAATATACTTTACTTTTAGTATTTTATGTATTTAATCAGGGTTTATTTTACTAGTGACTTTGGAGTTAAGAAACTAATTCTTTTTTAATACTGTTGTTGTTGATTGCTGTCAAGTCGAACACGACTCATTGCGACCCTATGAAAAAAAGGCCTAAAACCTTATAACTGTCGTCATTTATCAAAGGTCGTAGAGTTTCCAGAGGTATGTTGTTTAGGAAGTAGATTTTAATACTGCTGTTGTTTGTTACCTAACTCTTCTTCCTGACACTCAGGGAACCTTCTGATAATTGGTATATCTTATTAAAATGCAGATTTTTTTAGTTGATCCGTAGGTGAAGCCTGAAATTCTGTTTTACTAATAGGCTTCAAGTTGGTGCCTGTTTCGCTGATTCCAGATCCATACTTTAATGTAACTCAAGATATTGTTTTATGCTACAGTCTAGCTTTTCAGGGTGACCTGCCATGTAATTTCTAAAGCCTTTTTAATTTATGGATAAGAACAACGGACCCAGTGGTGCCCTGCAATGACATGCTGGTTGTGACACTGTTAGTATAATAAGATTGACAAGTAGCATCTTCTTAAAAAAAAATTTAAATTTTCATCCTGCCTAATACCAGAAAGAGACATCTAAGGAGAACATTTTTCGAGTTGTATACATTATTTTATTTTTATTTATAATACACATTGCTTTAAGAAGCATTATGTCATTAATAAATAGCAAAGTCAATCAGTAAAAGACAAAATAAGTCAGTGCTAAAGGTCTAAATTTCCTCAGAGCTATGGCATTACAATCACAGACTATGCATGCTAGAAATATAGTTTTGATTCCATTGTTGTCATGTGCCATCGAGTCACTTGCAACTCATAGCGACCCTATGTACAAGATCCCTTCAGCTCAAAGGCATCTAGTCTCTTTCCATCATCTCTAGTCACTGTCCAACTCTTTGATGCATAGCCCATAATTGGGAAGACTACATGCATCGGAGAGTTGGACAGTAGGGATGACAGAGAATTGATGCCTCCAGCTGTGGTGCTGGAGAAGAGTGTTGAATATACAGTGTACTGCTAGGAGAAAGAAGAGGTTTGTCCTGGAGAGGGTGAAGCTGGACTGGTCCTTGGAGAGGGACATCATGCTTGGGAGAGTGGAAGGACGGTGCAGGAGAGGAAGACCCTCAATGAGATGGATCGATTCTGTGAGTGGAGTGGTGGGAATGAGTGTGTCGGAGATGGCGAGGTTGGCACAGGATAGAGTGGCATTTAGGGCCATTGTACATAGGATTGCTATGAGTTTCAAGCGACTCGATGGCACGTAAAGCAACAACATAGCCCAGATCATGCGCACCTTAGTCTCCAGCCTGAGGTCATTGTTCTTCAATACTCTTGAGAGGTCCCTGACAGCTGGCTTTCCCACTGCAATTCGTCTCTTGATTTCCTGGGTGCTGGAAGTAAAAATAAAACTGCTCAATATGTAAGCACAATTATCACTAACGAGCTTCAAATAATATACGTGTGTGTGTGTGCGCGCGCGCATCCTGCCAACATTTTGATTTTGCTGGATCTGAGGGGGACAAGTTGCTTGTTGTAGGTATGGATGATGTGAAAACTGTAGTCTTTCTTTTAAACAATGGGGATCTTGCAGAAGCAAATCTTAAGTAATTTGATGGTGTGCACATACATCAAAAGGTGTCCTAGAAACCACAAAGACAGTATCAGTGAACAGTCTTTTCCAAAGCAGTGGACAAATATCCACTCAACCTGATAACTCTGTGCAGAGCACTAAAACTCTTGAGTTGTGGATATGAGAACCATGAATTTGGTGAGTATCAAAAGGATCAATGGTTTTAAATTTTTTTTTTAAAAAAATGCTTATTGACCAGTATAAACCTTATCTATTATAGCCAATACTTAGGGAGCTCTGGAGGAAGCTGCACTGCATTCCTGAAAGCACATGGTTTGCAGCCACCAGCTGCTCCTTGGGAGAAAGATGGGTAATCTCCCGTGTGATTAACGGGCCTCTGGAAACCTGCCAGAGGGTCATTGAGGGGTCACTTCTGACTATACAGTACACAACAACTTGGGTGGTTAGTAGTTGGATTTGCTTCAGTAAGTAGGCAGGATCACAGGCAGAGATTCATTGCTCCTTATTTTCAAATCATTACTTTAAAGAACCTTCTATTTATTTGGCAAACTGAAGAAGTTACTCTTAAGTCATTTTCTATGTTCAAATATACATCCTTCATAATTTTTTAAAAAGCAGAACTGTACTATTTTTCCTATGGAATTATGCAAAGGCGTTTGACTGTGTGAATCATAACAAACTGTGGCTGACTCAGAAGAATGGGAATCCCAGAACACTTGATCATGCTAATGCGAAACCTGTACTTGGACCAAGAGGCATTCGTCAGAACAGAGCAAGGCAATGGTTCGCAGTTGGGAAGGGCGTACGCCAGTGATATGTCCTTTCTTCATATCTTTTCAAACTGTATGCAGAACAGATTATCCAGGAGGCTGGGCTCTATGAGAAATGTGGGGTCAAGATTGGTGGGAGATCTATGAACAGTCTGTGTTATGCAGATGACAAAACCCTGCTTGCTGAAACTGAGGAGGACCTGAAGCACCTGCTGCAGACGGTCAAGGACTGCAGCCTTCAGTGTGGATTGAGGCTCAGTGTCAAGAAGACAAAGATTCTCACCACTGGACCAATTGGCAGCATCAGGATGGATGGTGAAGAGACAGATTGTTCACAGCTTTAGTTTGCTTGGCTCCACAGTCAACACTCTTGGCACCAGTAGCCAGGAAAGTAAAAGACGTATTGCGATGGGAAAGTCTGCTGTTAGGGACCTCTCCAGGGTGCTGAAGAGCAGTGGTGTCTCTGGAGACTAAGGTGCATCTGATACAGGCCATGGTCTTTGCAGTCACTTGTTATGCATCAGAGAGTTCAACAACGACTAAGGAGAATAGAAGGAGAATTGATGCCTTTGAGCTGTGGTTCTGGAGAAGAATATTGCAGGTACCATGGACTGCTAGGAAAACAAACAGATTCATCCTGGAAAGGGTTAAACTGGGCGGGTCCCTGGAGGCAAGGATTCTGAGGCATAGTTTGACATACTTTGGACATGTTATAAGGAGGGACTCGTCCTTGGAGAGGGACATCATGCTTGAGAGGGTGGAGGGACAGTGCAGGAGGGGAAGGCCCTCATAGTGACTGGGGTATTCGGGATGGGTGTGTCGGAGATAGTGCAATTGGCACGGGACAGAGCAGAGTTTAGGGCTGTTGTACAGAGGGTCACTATGAGTTGCAGGCAACTTGACGACACATAGCAACAACAACAACATTTACATGTCATTTTAAAAATTTATTTTAAAAGTTTTTTTGTTTCTAATATTGTTATTTTTTTAATTTATGTTGATTTGCTTACAGAGTTTGTATACATTGTGTTTTACACTATTATTCATTCACATTGTATTTCATGCAATCATTCCCATCCATTATATTTTATGAAATGAATCATCATTGGACCATGCCCATCATTACCCTGTCTTTTCAGGTCCCTGCCGGATTTTTCCTGTTTCCTTTACCCCCTCCCTCCATCCATCAAATATTACAATCCTTTGGTTTTGTCCCTACCCATCCTCACTTCTTTGCTTTTACTCCTTCCCCCCTTGGGTCCCCATACATGCTTTACTAGTTATTTTTCTATTAACCATGTTGTTAATACAGCTTTACTTACTAATCAGTGGCAGTGGAGTTTTATGGTTTTGTTTAAACTTGATAGTGAACTTGTCATATTAAATATTTTTTTATTTTTAAATTACTGTTAATAAAAATGATGATTTAGTTTTAATGTACTCTTTCATAGGTGTAAATGTGACAGATCATGATTTAACATTTAGAAGTCTAACGGAGTCCCTTCGAAACAATGTCACACCATATGTAGTTTCATTGCAAGCTAAAGATTGTCCAGGTAAGGAATAATGCCCTGATCATTTGTTGACATGGTCGAGGTCTTTTCCTTTTCTCTTCTCCCTTTCTCTTTTTAGATTTCTTTATTAGTTTTTATTTGTGAGAAGAACCCAGTGCTGTATATGTATCCGGGTAGAGGTTGATGCTTCACAGTGTACCCCTTACTTTTGCAGGGCTCCTTACCATTTTTTCCTTCCTTTATTCTGACCCACCCAACTGTACCAGTGGCACTACAAGTAATATTTCAGGCATTTAAAAGCTGTTATCATATGTACGAGAATTCCTTAGCCTACTTAAATACTTCTGTGACACTGACGTGTCAAATGCGACAGTGCTTACCTATGGTGGACAGTGTTTGGTGGCACTCCCCAGTTAAAACAAGCTTGGAAGCAGGAGTGGCATCCACTTCAGTAAATAGCTTGCTTCCGGAAACCCTATGATCCTGTAGAAAGGATGAAAGTCACGCATGTGTTGAGGACTTTTGTTCATAAGGTCGTTATGAGTTGCCTACGACTCGATGGCACTTAACAACAACAACAATTAAATACTTAATAATTAGAAAGGTATATAGTGAGATGCTGTACATTGGTAAATGGGAAGCTTTTATTTATCCCAGCAAAGAGTAAACTGTAAACTACCTTGGGTAATACTTGCCAAATCATCTTATTATTGCTAAAAATAATTTAAAGGAGGTGGCTGCTAATCAAGTAGTCCCCGACTTACAATGACACCCCATTGCTGACCACTTTAAGTGGATTCTTACATAAGTTGAATACCTCTCCCCTCCATTATTACTACCTTGTATATAATTTTTGAATATTTGTAAATGAGCATCTGAGAATAACATCAATAAATATGTGCTACAACATTGTATGTAGTATATGATACTAACAATAATATGTGCAAAAACCAAAGCAAGAGCAGGTGGTGATGTGTAGTTTGCTGTAATTTAAATGTGCTGAAAATGGCCCTGATGGCGTATTTGATAGGTAATTGCATTGCTAACATAAAGGCAGTCAGTTAGAATCCACTAGCAACTTCCTCTGCAATTTACAACCTCTAAACCTGTAGGATTAGCTATGAACAGACTCTCATTTGATGACAGTGAGTGAGATCTGTAAAATAGGATTTGGATTTGGACTGATATAAAGACTTTATGTTCTTACATTAACTTTAGTGCTCATTAGTAGATTAAAATGAAAAGCCTTTAGGATACCTTTAAAGGTTATAACAAGATACATAATCAGTTAAGCAAGATACATATATTTTTATGTTCTTGAGGAACTTTGAAGATAATATATTACATAGTGTAATGTATGGTTTTTTTGGGTTTTTTATTTATTTATTTTTTTAAATAGCATTCCGTTTATTACAAATATTTAGTATTGGCTTCCCATATTTACCCCCTTTTGTTTTTATCATAATTATGTTATCATCTAGATGAGCATCCTTTATACACAAACAAATAAAACAAAGTAAATATAGTAAACTCAAAGAAATACTTTCAAAAATCTCCATATGATCAGAAGGTTTCAGGTTGAATATTCCTTGAAAGTCTGTTTTAATTGTCCCATTGCCATAGTACTTGTCAAAACCAGTTCTGATTATTATCCTTTGTCAGTGTGTCCTTTGCCATTCCCTATCACTCCTCCCTGAGAGAGATTTCACCCTGATTCATAAGGAAAATGGGACGTCGTATTCTCTTAGCAACTTCCTGCTGAAAAGGGACGCTGTAGGTTTCAGGGTGAAGATCTTCTCTCACTGCTCTAAAGGGCCCTTTTGGCAATAGGAAACACGTAGACTATTGTGGAGATTGATTTTGGAATTTAGATGCACTGTTATCAGTTGTGCTTAGCCATACATGTTCATATCCTTGAAGATGCATCATGGAAGTGTTGCAGCCTAGAAGACACAAATTTAACTAACAAGTTAAAAGTACATGAGTCAAAAATTAAAAGCAATAATATTCCAAGTAGAGGTTCTAACAGTGGCACAAATCAAGTTACAGAGGGAAGGTAGTTCTTAAAATAAAAGGCATATTGACTAGCACTTTGTCTATTATAGTATAAAGGTTAGGAACCACAAGATGTAGAGGCTCAACTGTGTCATTTATTGTTCTTAAGTCCTGGACCAAATTCCATCTACCATTGGGTTGTTTTACAGCTCGGAAGTCTACATGCAAGGCAGAGGTGAAGTTTTAAAAAATGTCATTTCCTTGTTTATGCATTAGCTTAGGTAGCACTTTTCTTACAGACATCATCTATAAGCTTTGGCATAGTCTTAGTATCAAACAGTGAAGTTGTAAATAGTAAGGCACACGTTAATAATGATTCTTAAATGTATGTCAGATACCTTGTTGAAAAGTAGAAAATATATCCTACTCAAATAATATACAATCCAGATGTCACCAGGGCTTTGAATATGTTTTAAAAGTAGGTAAACTATCTTAACTTTTATATTCTGCAGATATGAAACATTTTTTGCAAAAACTGGTCTCACAGTTGATAGATTGTAAAGATGTAGAATGCAAAGAGGGGAAGAATATTCAGACCATTCAGAAAAACACCTGTTACTCAATGGATTTCCTTTCCAGTTGGTATAGAAATGTTACACAGGTAAATGCAAACTGACAGTTTTTTCCTAGGAAATTGGCATATGATTGAAGAAGCTCAGAATTTTAAAACATGGTTCTTTTTTATCCTTGGAAGTATTTATGCATATGTAGCACTGACTGTTCATTTAATAGTAATTCCTTTTTTCCCCTAAGGCTACTAGAATTTAAAATTATTCTTAAGTTTGTGTGTTTTCTGATTCCTAGTAAGTGCTGAGGCTCTTACAAGGACATTTTATAAGTGAGGAAGTATCACCTAGTGACAAAGGAGTGTCAAGAGTTGGCCCTGTGGCAAATTCTCCCTTTGTAATAATGACTGTAACTTTAACACAGTTTCTTGTTTGCCTTTGTCCAGTAGAATTATGCTGCTTCTGATAGCCACTGTCAACTTAGTCCTGTGAAGAATAATCACACTTTTTTATGTTTATTCATTTGTCTTTTAAATCTAATGTCCTTAATCCTTAACAATTCTTGGGTATAAATGCTTTGTAAATTAAATATGTTTAAGAGAAATTTAAACAGTTTCAATTTAAAGAAATAAAGCAGTTAAAGCAAAAGAAGGTCTATGCTACCTTAACAATGTACAGTGAAACTTAATGACTTTCTGTGCCATTCAGTCACAGTCTTGGTTTGTTATGCTGTGTAGCCATGTAGTACAGGGTAAAAGGTGTGATATTTTCTAATCATCATTTTTGTCATTATCAGAGAAGATTCATGAAACTGCCCATTTTACTTATATAAAGAGCTAAACTGGGTCTCAAGTTTGTGAAAGTGTTTTGACTAATTTCTAGCATAGTGTTACTGTTGTTTCATGTTGTCAAATTGGAACCAATTTATTATTGACCCTTTGGCGGGCTTTCAGAGGCTGTAAATTACATAGGAAGAGATTGCCCATCTTTCTCCATAGAGAAACACGTGGATAAGAGCTGCCTGCCTTGGGGTTGGCAGTGCAGCTTCTTACCACAAGGCCACCAGAGCTTCCCCGCTGGGTGAAGGGAAAGGCGATACACAGTAAATGGTATTAATATTGGAATTAATTAATTATGATCATTAGTGCTATAAATCAAAGTGTCTGAATAATTGTATGAAAAAGCAATATGATATGTAAACCTTCTCTCAAATGAAACTTAAGTTAATTACTACAAAAAAGAATTAAACTAAATCTGGGAGCTCTGGTGGCCTAGTGGTAAAAAGGTGCACTGCAATCCTGAAGGCAGGTGGTTTGAAACCACCACATTCCTTGCAATTAACTGCCTCTGAAAGCCCACTGGAGGATCAATCATGGTTCGGTTCCAGATTGTTGTGTGCAACAACAGCAATGCTTACCGTAGCTTAATTTGATCTAAAATTTTATGTTTTTCTAAAATCAAGTAAACTTTCTCATTTATGTCACTTAATAAATTTTGAACCAAATGATTTTTTATTCTTTCCAAACTTGACATTTTAGAGTATCAACAGTAACTAGTATTGTTATTTATGTTTTTTGTTAAAAAAAAAAAAACTACTTCTCATTTTAAAGCAAAGCAAACCATAGTATTCTGATTTCTAAAATATTATAAAAATAAATTTTATAGAAAAGTTTTTCTTTCCCTATCATTTACTATGATAGCAGGAAATAAAAGTATTTTATATGATTATGAATTTTGCTGAGCGGTTTTCTTCTTGGTTATTGTTCCCATGTCGGACACAGAAAGAATCTGCCAGTAACTGTAGGAACGCATTTCTGTTTATTATGTTGGGGAATGAAAAGACCTATGTTATGTGAACCATAAAGGGAGGTATAGAACATGTGACTTCATAGCATTAACTGTAATATAATGAAAATAAGTCATTTTTTTATTCCTTGCTCCATAATGGCTTAAAAAAGACTGATCCAAAATTGCCAAGCAGAAAAAGAAGTTCATCCAGTCAATGCCATTCTCCTCCTGTTGTGCTTATCCTGAAAGATATGGAAAGCTTCACCACTAAAGTGCTACAGGACTTCATAATTATCAGCAGGTAGATGGTGTTTTACATGGATTTTGTGCTAAAATTATCTTTTTATTAAGAAACCATTTAAGTTAAAGCGGCTGTTTTCAGAGAAAATGAATGGCTGACTTAATGTTAATGCCATCTGAGTACAAATTAAAGCAGTTTCTGGTTCATAATGGTCAAAGACCATCTGGTAAGAACCAGATTCTTCATTTAACTTTTGACTGAAAAATGAGAATCAGAAGGGAGCCAGTATCTAATTAGCATGAGGAGACAACATGAAGTTTCATTTATCTCACTAAGATTATCAGTCTTATTGGTTGCCCATTAAATAGTTAAGTTGCTCCCAGTAAAGGTATTTTTGTTAAGTATTATGTTTAATATGTGCCCATCCTTAGAGACTCAGTCTCTTATAGCTGTACTGAGCAAGAATATTTTCTGTTTAACATTACCTTATTTATAAAGGGAAACAACTTTAATGATCTCATTAAATCTTTAATGCAATACTGTTAGAATTGGAGGCACTGAATCTCAACTCAGCACATTACTATTGAATAGAAAACAACTTACAGCTGACTCTCAAGCAGATTTCCAAGGCTAGAAATTGCATGGGAGAAGATTGTCCATCTTTTCCCCTCAGTCTTTTGTGGATTCGAACCAGCAGTGAGACCCTTGGTTTAGCAGCCCAGTGCACTACAAGCTATGCCAACAGAGCTCCCTATTAAAATCTAGTGGCATACATATTCCATTATTAAGATAAATTTATTTTGCCTTGTGCTAAGATACCATAACAATTTTGGCTATATTTGTTTAAAGTTACATGGCTTATAACTTACTGATAGAATTTCTGTAGAATTAGTGTAGCTTTTTTTACATTGACACTAAAACTTGTAGATCGTGAAACTTTTCTTAAAGATGGTACAAAACTGGTTAGCAAGTTGAAAGCATGCACAGTGTACAATAGTAGCAGTAATGTGCCACCATTTTTTAACTCAGACTTGTGAAATAAATACCAAAAATAATGAAAGAGAACTTAGAATAATAATAGAGTGCCAGTTGCCAGTGCTTTATTCCTATGAAGATAGAATTGGATGCAGGTACAATACAGAGAAGTAGTAGCTAATGAGATCAAGAACAGTTATCAGGCAAGATACAAAGAGCTGTGACCTGTAGTACTTTGCAATGATAACACTCTTACTAAAAGATTCTGTGGAAGTTATTTCTGTTCATACTAAGGGAGTCATTATTTTTAATAAATTTAGAGCTGCAAAGAGGACTAGTAACTTTTTAATGTTAGCTATTGAAAAGATGCACCCCATTCATGGCCTAAAAGAGCTTTTTAAGATCCATCCTGAAGTGCAGTGCTGATGTGGGTCAAATACTATCCATACATAAACAAGATACCTCTGTTAATGCAACAGCTTTTCAAATATGCACCTCAACTACTGAAGTCAAAGATGAAAAAATTGAGCATTTCTACACACTTACGCCATCTGAAATTGAGTAAACATGCAATCAAGATGCATTAATTATAATTGGTCACTGGAAGGCAAAATTTGAAAACAAGAAAGATTGGTAGTTGGAACAAATGGCCTTGGTGATAAAAATGAGGCTGGAGATCACATAAAAAGAACAGTCTCTGATTTAGTAATTATAAGTACCTTTTGTAAAAACATAAATGGAGACTGCATTTCAGTCTCATTGATAGAATACACAGGGATTGACCTTGGCTTTGTTCTGAAAAACAGTGGAGAAGCTCAATAACAACAATCAAAACAAGGTCCGGTGCCCACTGTGCTTGTATGCAAGTTCAGATTGACTCTGAGAAGAATTAAAACAAGTCCATGAATGCCAAAATATGACCTTGAGCTTAATTCCACTTGAATTGTAAAACATTCCTAAGGCTAAATTTGATAAATTGAACATTAATGACTAAAGACCACACAGGTTGTGGGGTGACATCAAAGACATAATCCCTGAAGAAAGCAAATGGTAGTTTAGAAGACAGGAAAGAAAGAAAAGACTAACAAGATATCGAGAGAATCTAAAACTTGCTCTTGAACATGGAAAAGCAAAAGAAAGAAATGATGAAATTTGGGAGTTGAGGAAAAGATTTCAAAGGACAACTTGAAAAGACAAAATATTTTTAACAAATGTACAAAAAACCTGGAATTAGAAACCAAAGAGATTTTGGTCTGTATTTTCAAGGTGAAAGAACTTAAGGACAAATTCAAGACTTCAAAGATTAAATGGGCAAAATATTGAATCACACAGATAATATCAGAAAGAAAATAAGAAATATGCAGTTATTCCAAAAGAAATTGATTTAACCATTTTAGAAAGTAACATGTAATCAAGATCCAATACTAATGAAGAATTCCAAAGTGCACTTTAGGCAGTTTCAAAAAAATAAGAATCAAGGCATTGACAAAGTATCAATTGAGGTGTTTCAGCAAAACCATGCTACCCATGAAGTACTAACTAGTCTGCAAGAAGACATTTGGAAGACAGCTGCCAGACAAACAATAAAAGAGATCCATATTTGCTCACATTCCCAAAAAAGGTGATCGAAAAGAGTACAGAAATTCCTGAAAAGTATCATTAGTATCACACACAAGTACCAATCTTGCTGAAGCACAACTGGGGTCCTGTAGGGACCTGCAGGGGGGACCTCTGCATCTCCCTAACATCAGCAGTGAGCTTCTCTTTTCAACCCTGGTGTAGAATCTTAGCCAAGCAGAAGCTCCTAAGCCAAGCCTTGGAACAAATGGCACAATGAAGCTTTTTGCAACAGCTTTAAAAAAAACAAAAAAACACAACTATGCAAACACAACTGGAATTGTATATCTACACGAAGTCTTAAAAATGCAAACTGGATTCAGAAGAGGGATATTATTGCTGATAGATGGATGTTGGCTGAAAGCAGAGAATACCAGAAAGATGTTTACTTGTGTTTCGTTGACTATGCCAAAGTATAAGACTTTGTGGGCTATAATAAACTGTAGGTAACTTGGAGAAGTATGAGAAATCCAGAACATTTAATTGTGCTCATGTGAAACCTGTACATAGATTTAAATAAAATACTTCCTTAAACAGAGTAAAGGAATACTGCATGATTCAAAACCAGGCTTGTATCCTTTGTCCATACCTATTTAGTCTGTATACTGAGAAAATCTTTCAAGAAGTTGGACTATAGGAAGAAAAGTATGGCATCTGGATGGAAGGAAGCTCATCAACAATCTTTATTTATACAGATGACACAACTTTCTTTATAGGTAGTGAAGAAGACTTGAAGCACTTACTGCAGAAGATCAAAGATTACAGCCTTCAGTATGGGTTATACTTCAACATCAAGAAAACAAAAATCCTCATCATTGGAACAATAGACAACATCATGATGTTGTGTACTGTTGGGTTGTAACCAACCCATAGCTGATCCTCCAGCAGGTTTTCAGGGGCAGTTAATCACACAAGAGGAAATTGTGCGTCTTTCTTCTGAGGAGCATTTGGTGGCCTCAAACCATCTGCCTTTGGGATTGCAGTGCAACTTCTTGCCACTAAAGATTAAAGTTGTCAAACAACTATGAGATATCATCTCACCCCAGTCAGAACAGCAAAATTTAACAGAACAGTAAGCAACAAATGATGGTGAGGTTTTGGAGAAACTGGAATCCTTATTCACTGTTGGTGGAAATGTAAAATGGTGCAACCACAGTGGAAGGCGGTGTGGTGCTTTCTCAAAAAGTTGCAAATAGAGATACCATTTGACCCAGCAATTCCACTACTGGGACTATATCCCAAAGAGACGATAACTGCCACCAAAGCAGATATATGCACAACCCATGTTTATCATGGCTTTCTTCACTATAGTGAGGAGTTGGAAACAACCTAAGTGCCCACCAACAAACAGATAGGGAAGCTGTGGTATATTCACACAATGGAATACAGGCTGCATTGCAAAACAAGGAACTCATGCAATATTATTCAAAATGGGTGACCCTGAAGGACATTATGCTGAGTGAAGTATCTCAGTCACAAAAGGACAAATACCGCATTGTGCCACTGTTGTAAAAGAGTACTGACCTCAGGGTTGGGGGGAGTGAGAAAGATGGGTTCAATAATGTATACTGCATTGAAATAGATGAGGGAGAAAACTATTTAAAAGGGATATGTGATTAGGTATTTTTGTCATGACAGGAGTCCAGAGCAAAGGCTGCATAGTGGAGTGGATCTGGGGCAAGGGATTGTAAAACAATGAAAGAATTTTTCTTTTACTTTTCCAAGATGGTAGTATACTGGGGGAGGAGGGTTGTGAGGGGGAAAAGTGCAACAGTGAGTGAATGGAAATCCAGAGTCTCTGTAAATTTTCACTGAAATTAAGAATAAATTTTAAAAAAATTAAAGTTGTCAAGAATTTCATTTCACTTGGATCCACATTCAGCAAATATCCATGATTGTTGTGTGCTGTTGCGTTGGAACCAATTTATTGCATACGTTCTAGCAGGTTCTCAGAGGCAGTAAAATGCACAAGAAGAGAGTGCTCATCCTTTTAACAGCAGTCAAGAAATCAAAATATATTTTGCATTGGGGAACTCTGCTGCTCAGTACCTCTTTAGGGTGCTAAAGAGCAGGATGTTTGGAGTCAAAAGTGTGCACCATTCATGCCATTGTATTTTCACTTGCTTCATATTCATGGAAACAGTGGACAATGAATAAAGAAGAATAAAAATGCCTTTAAGTTTTAGCATTAGCAAAGAGTCTTGATAATACCAGGGGGCAGTCATCAGAACAGAGCAAGGAGACCCTACATGGTTAAAAATCAGGAAAGGTGTATGGCAGCCATGCATCCTCTCTCCATACCTTTTCAGTCTATCTGTGAAACAGATCACCTGGGAGACTGAGTTCTATGTGTAGGAATGTGGCATCAGGATTGTAGGAGAACTCATCAACAACCTGCATTATGCAGATGACACAACCTTGCTTGCCAAAACTGAGCAGGATCTGAGGCATATTCTGCAAAAGGCCAAGGACTACATATTTCATAATGGATTGAAGTTCTACATCAAGAAAAACAAAGATTCTCACCACTGGGGCCATTGGCAGCTTTATGATAGATGGTGTTTGGCCCCACAATCAACACTATTGATACCAGCAGGCAGGAAATGAAATGACAGATTGCATTGGAAAGTCTCCTGCTAGGGGCTTCTCCAGAGTACTGAAGAACAATGATGTCAGTCTAGAGACTAAGGTGCACCTGATCCAGACTGTGGTCTTCATAATTACTTGCTATACATCGAGAGCTAAACAATAACTAAGGATAATAGAAGAATAATCAATGCCTTTGAGTTGTGATGCTGGAGAGGAATATTGAATATACCATGAACTCCTAAGAGAACAAACAAGTCCGTCCTGAGAGGGTGAAACCAGGCAGTTTCTTAGAGGCAAGGATTTTGAAAGTTTGACATACTTTGGGCATGTTGCAGAAAGGACCAGTCCTTGGAAAGGGACATCATGCTTGGAAAGGTGGAGGGACAGCACAAAAGAGCAAGACCCTCGATGAGATGGATTGACTCATTAACTGTGGTAATGAGGATAGGTGTGTCAGAGACAATGCAATTGACTCAAGATAGAACAGTGTTCAAAGCTGTTGTTAGTAGGATTGCTATGAGTTGCAGGTGACTCGACATACATAGTAACCAGAACAACATCAAAAGAACAGATTGCCTTGCGGAAAGTGCAACCAGTGTGCTTCATAGAGGCATGGGTAGTGAAACTATCTCACATACTTTGTTGTCAAGAGTGCCAGTCCTTGCAATAACACAACATTCTTCAAAAAGTAGAGGGTTAGCAAAGAAAGAGTCAGATTGTCAATGAGACATCGAAAGGGTGACTTTAACAATGGGCTTGAGCATGATGGAGATTGTGAGGATGGTGCAAGATGGGGTGAGGTTTTGATATGCTGTTAATAGGGTTTCTTTGAGTCGTAATCGACTCACATGTACCTAACAATAACAAGTTGAAAAAGCTGTAGAAGAAATTTTCTCTTAGCTGTTATAATTAGGTGGCATAGTGTCTCTTAGAAATCTTTATAAATAAAAATCAGTCAACATCATGCCACTGTACTCAGAGTGTAGAATGACAGCTGAGAGTCAAGTGAGAAGTTAAAATGACTGGCATCTGCGACTTCGTCTAACAATCTTAACACTTGAAATTGGAATCATCTTGGAGAAAAGCTTCATTTCTCAGAGCCTCTGTGTTCCTATTTATAAAACAAAAAGATCTAATAATAATAATAATCTGATAATAAGTAGATATCAGAATTAGAGTATCTGGGAATACCTGTTTTTGTGATATTTTAGCCTAGAAATCAATAATGAACTAGATAATTTCAGTATTTGGAATGATACTTTTTAGTGGAGTCTTATAAATACTTTATAAAATAGAGCTCTTATTTTGAAATATGTAAATATATTTGGTAAACAAATTCTACTTTTGTGTCTTCCTTTGAAAACTAGTCAACATCTACATGAATTTCCACTAATACTCATTTTTGGAATTGCCACATCACCTGTTATCATCCACCGATTGCTTCCTCATGCAGTATCGTCACTGTTGTGTATAGAACTATTCCAGTCTTTGTCTTGTAAGGAGCACCTGACTACAGTACTTGATAAGGTAAAAAAAATGTTTTACTGCTGACATAGGATTAAAAGAAAGCTCTGAAAAATAGATTGTAAATAGAAATTTTAATGATAAATTTCTACATCTCTCAAAGTAGTAATACATTGAACATATTTCTTCGTGTGTGTGTATGTGTGTGTGTGTGTGTGTGTATATTTATATATATATAAAACAAGCTTTGATGGTGCAGTGTGTTAAAGAGTTGGGTTGCTAACTGAAAAGTCATTGGTTCAGACCCACCAGCTGCTTCATGGGACAAAGACGTGACATTCTCCTTCCATAAAATCACAGTCTTGGAAACCTTGGGGAATAATTCTCCTCTGTCCTTTTGGGCCATTATGCAGATGGATTCAGATGACTGATTTTCTGGTTAGCAGCATGACATACTATGTACTACTAGATTGCCATGGAGCTCTCGTGATCTACTGGTAAGGAATTTCACTGGCATCACAAAGGCACATGGTTCAAATCCACCATGGGAGAAAGATGAGCACTCTTCTCCCTTGTGATTTACTGCCTCTTAAAACACACTGGAGGGTCAACTCTGAGTCTTTTCTGACTTGACAGTACATTACAGCAGCAACTTCTATGTTTGTCACCAAGGCTCTTTTATACCTCATTGCCCAATGGAAATAAGTAGGCTCTTAAAAGAATTGTTTACAGAATTTAGAAAATTTCTAGAAATAATATTTTTTTACTTTTATAAATTGCTTGAAACTTTTCAGGTACTTTTTCATAACAGACTGTCATATTGCTCTTGAGAACAAATAGTAAAATTTCTAATATCTTAGCTGCTGTAAGGGATCCCTGGTGGCCTAGTACGTAAAGATTTGCACTACGAATCCAAAGGCATGTGGTTTGACTTTATCAGCTGCTCCTCTGGAAAAAGATGGGCAGTCTGCTATGCTGTTTACAGTCTCTGGAAGCCTTCTGGAGGGTTGACAGCATTGTTGCTGGGTAGCTACTGTGTATTTCTATCAAGGTAAATAGAGGTCTTTTCCTATTATTGACCTATTACAGTTTGCTCTTAGAATCAGTGGCTTGCATGAGGTGGACTAGTGAAAACCTGCTGCCCCTTATTTACTAACTCTTGTATCTCCTCCCCCCATAATGATGATATCCTTCTTATTTTCTTGAACTTAGGAAAAATTTTCCAGCTACAATATTTGTGATTGCTTTATTATGGCCAGATTCATTTGGCTTCTCATTAATGTGTTTCTTTTCATTCTAAAAGAAGCAGCCCTCTGTGAGTTTTTATATTCAGACCTAAAATCTTCACTTTAGGCCACTGAAAATAAACTGAATGATACAAATTAGACCTCTGATAATTTTGTTGTTTTTCTTACTGACAGTAGACAAGCAATGTGTACAGATTTACATCATGATCAATGATCATTATGTAATGATTTACATCATGAGGTGTCTTATCTGATAACAAGACTTACCAAAGGTTGCTGTTTTCTTTAAGGCCTCTGATGGGAGAAAAAGGATGTTATAGCTAATAGGCATTTACAGTTGTTCTTAGGTGCTGTTGAGTTGAGTACAACTCACAGTGACCCTATGAACAAAAGATCTGAACCCTGTTCTATCCTGCACGATCCTCACACGTTCTGGCCCACAAAAGCCCATGGCAGCAGTTACCATGTCAGTCCACCTACTTCGGGGTCTTCCTCTCCTTCACCAACCATCCACCCTTCCCAGCATCATGTCCTTCTTCAAGGAATAGCCCCTCTTAGCAACATGTCCATCTGTTGAAACCACCTGGCCAACTCACTGGAAGAGATCTATTATTTGTTCCCATTCTAAAGAAAGGTGATCTGACGGAGTGTGGAAATTATCAAACAATATCATTGATATCACAAGCAAACAAGATTCTGCAGAAGATTATCAAAAAACAACTGAAACAGCACATTTGCAGAGAATTGCCAGAAGTGCAAGCTGGGTGTAGAAGGGGTCATGGTCACATCCATGTTTATCGAGGCTTTGTTCACAATAGCAAGGAGTTGGAAACAACCTAAGTGCCCACCAACAAACAAATGGGTAGAGAAGCTGTGGTATATTCACACAATGGAATACTAAGCTGCATTGAAAAACAAGGAACTCATGCAGTATTATTCAAAATGGGTGACCCTGGAGGACATTATGCTGAATGAAGTATCTCAGTCACAAAAGGACAAATACCACATTGTGCCACTGTTGTAAAACAGTACTGACCTCGGGGTTGAGGGGAGACTGAGAAAGATGGGTTCAATAATGTATACTGCATTGAAACAGATGAGGGAGAAAACTATTTAAAAGGGATATGTGATTAGGTATTTTTGTCATGACAGGAGTCCAGAGCAAAGGCTGCATAGTGGAGTGGACCTGGGGCAAGGGATTGTAAAACAATGAAAGAATTTTTCTTTTACTTTTCCAAGAGGGTAGTGTATTAGGCGGTAGGGTTGTGAGGGTGAAAAGTGCAACAGTGAATGAATGGAAATCCAGAGTCTCTGTAAATTTTCATTGAAATTAATAATAAATTTTTTAAAAACCACAACAATACCTTATCCTTTTAATGTAAGTTTAAAATTAATAAACACTCGCTAGAGAGAAAAAGGGGTGGGGGGGGCGTGGTATACTAGGGATATTGTAGCTAATGTTAGATGGATCTTGGCTGAAGGCAGATAGTACCAGAGGAATGTCTATCTGTGTTTCATTGACTATGCAAAGGCGTTTGACTGAACCACAGCAAATTGTGACTAAATCTGAGAGGAGTGGGAATCTCAAAATACTTGATTGTGCTAATGCGAAACCTATACTTGGACCAGGAGGCAAGCAGAACAGAGCAAGAGAACACTGTATGGTTCAAAATTGGGAAGGGTGTACGCAAGAGATGTGTCCTGTCTCCATACCTTTTCAAGCTATATGCAGAACAGATTATCCAGGAGGCTGGGCTCTACGAGGAGAAGTGTGACATCAGGATTGGCGGAAGACTCATCAGCAACCTGCATTATGCAGATGCCACAACCCTGCTTGCTGAAACTGAGGATGACCCGAAGCACTTGCTGAAGCCTTCAATATGCATTGAAACTCAATATCTAGAAAACAAAGATTCTCAACACTGGGCCGATTGGCATCCTCATGGTGGATGGTGAAGAGATTGAGATTGTAAACAGCTTTAGTTTGCTTGGCACCACAGTCAACACTTTTGGTACCAGCAGCCAGGAAATTAAAACATGTATTGTGTTGAGAAAGTCTGCTGTCAGAGACCTCTCCAAAGTACTGAACAGCAATGATGTCACTCTGGAGACTAAAGTGCATCTGATATAGACCATGGTCTTTGCAATCGCTGTACATCAGAGAGCTGGGCTATGATTAGGTTTGCTAGAAGAAGAATTGATGCCTTTGAGCTGTGGTGTTGGAGAAGAGTATTGAATATACCATGGGCTGCTAAGAGAACGAACAAGTTTTTTATGGAGAGAGTGAAATCAGGCTGCTCCTTGGAGGCAAGGATTCTAAAGCTTCATCTGATATACTATGGACATGTTGCAAGGAGAGACCAGTCCTTGGAGAGTGACGTCATGCTTGGGAGGGTGAAGGGACAACACAGGAAAGGAAAGCCCTCAATGAAATGGATTGATTGAGTGACTGGGGTAATGGGGAGGGGGAGGGTATCAGAGGCAATAAGATTGGCACAAGATAGAGCAGGGTTTAAGGCTGTTGTACATAGGGGGTCTATGAGTCTCAGGTGAGTTTACAGCACATAACAACAATAAGAAGCAGTGTGCCCAAAATATGTGAGGCAAAGCCTCATCATTTCTGCCTCCAAGGAGTTTTTTAAAATTAGAAATTGGATGGACGATAATGATCATCTTTGGTTCTGAAAATTAATTGGAATAGCTTTCTTGGAGTTGTTGCTGTTTTTTTAAAAATAGGTTAATATTGTACCTGAATAATTAAAAATAGCTACTATTGCCACTTTTATGGCTACTGGGTCATAGCCTAATTCTTTGCCTTATTTGTACAGAGTAAAGATTGTTTTCTTGGTCTTCTCCTTTTCCTATTTTTCAGCTACTTTTGACAACTCAGTTCCCCTTTAAACTAAGTGAAAAAGTGTTACAAGTTCTAACCAACATCTTTCTGTACCATGATTTTTCAATTCAGAACTTTGTAAAAGGACTACAGGTAAGAAGCATTAATTAGTTAAAATTCACAGATTGATTCTAAATAATTTATGTGGTTATATCAGACTAACTATTTACTTATATACTTAGGTATATAAGTATATTCTGATATTTAAGACTTTTTAAGTGGTAATAGTAAAAAATAAAGTTCTGTCATTTTTTGTTTACCTTGTAGAAAAATATAGAGAATGTTTTAATTAGAATATCAATAATAGGTGAAAGACTTCAATCTATGTAAGTGATTTCTAGGCTTTTTGGGATGGTGGAAAAGGAGCCTTGAGAATCTAATGATATTCTGCTTAGGAAGTGCCATATAATAGAAATCAACATACTTTTCCTGCAAAGTGCCAGCTATATTAAATATTTCCAAGTTTATTAGCTTTTTAGGTGTCTGTTTATGCATTTTTCTTTGGGGTGTTTTGTTTTTTAATACAGTCATTTAAAGTTGTTTTAAAAATCATTCTTTTTTTTATAATTTTTTATTTTTACAGAGGTTTTGGATTTCCATTCATTCATTGCCGCAATTTTCTCCCTTCCCACCCCTCCCCACCAGCTCTCTTCCCCCTCCGAAGAGAGAAAAAAAAATCCTTTATTAGTATACAATTCCTATGTCCCTTCCCCCCACCCCCCACCCCAAGTACACTTCTCTATGCAACCTTAATTCTGGTTTCCTGTGCTAACCATAATACTCAATCATATATCACTTCTTTCGTCTCAATACAATATACATAATTTATCCAGTTTTTTCTGTCATACCCCAACCCTGATGTAAAAAATCATTCTTAATTCTTGGACCATACAAAAAGAGGCTGCAATCTGTAGTTTGCTTACAACTACTCTTAGGTGCGTTTAAATATAAAAATAATTTTTATTATGTGTTTGGAATGAATTTTCACTACTTTTTGGGCCATCAAATTAAAATCAGCTCATAGCTGACCTTCAAGCAGGTTTTCAAAGGCTGTAAATTATATAGGAGATTGCTTTCTTCTGTAGAGCAGCTGGTAGATTCAAACTGCATGCCTTTGGGTTGGCATCATTCCTTAGCACTTAGCCACCACTGCTCCCTGTTTTCACTAGAGTTTTATGAATTGCCAGAAAGCAATTCTTAAACTTAGCTTTATAACATCTGCTCTAATCTAAAGAAGGCCCCATTATCCAGTTGTTTAAAAGTTAAAATTACTTTTTGTCTTGACAACTACTTAAATTATTTTAGCAACGCATCTTAGCAAATTTGAGAACATATCCTAGTTGTAAACCTCATTAAAACTTGCATAGAGTAGTAAATAAATGTAATATAGTAGGCTACTACATTTATGTATAGTGCCTCCTTCTTGTTGTTATTGTTGTTGTTGTTGTGTATCATACTGTCAGAACCAACCAGTAGCTTTCCCTCCAGGAGGTTTTCAGAGACAGTTAATCACATGGGAGGAGAATGCCTGTCTTTCTCCCCTGGAGCATCTCTTGCCCTCAGATTGTGTGCCTTTGGGTTTGGAGTGTCTTGCCACTTAGCCACCAGAGCTCCCATAGTGCCTAGGCAATACTAATTACCTCTTATATATTCTTCCTCTGAATAGTGAAATCATTATAATGATTTTCTTATGACTAATATGTTTTCCTACCCCCACCCCTGCTTTGAGTCTTTAAAGCAGGAAAATTAGCAATAGGTGAAATTAAGTTGAGAGATAATAAGTCAATGATATACCAAAATTATGTAATAATTATATGTAAAGAATATCATAATTATACCATGTTTTATGTATATAACTTAAATATATGATCAATTTGATAACAAAAAATATATTGAGGTAAGGTAACTTCCTCAATTACTTTTTGCTTATTTTACTTCATTCATTTACTCATTTCTGTTTATCAAGGGGCTGCTCTTTTTTTTTCTTCTATAATTATATTTTATTAATTTTCATAAACATTTACAGAGATTTTGGGCTTCCACTCATTCATTGTTGCACTATTCTCTC